GGGGAGGAAGCAACAGTTAGAACTGGATATGGAACAACAGACTGGTTCCAAATAGGAAAAGGAGTACATCAAGGCTGTATATTGTCACCCTGCTTATTTAACTTATATGCAAAGTACATCATGAGAAATGCTGGGCTGGATGAAGCACAAGCTGGAATCAAGACTGTTGGGAGGAATATCAATAATATCAGATATGCAGATGACACCACCCTTATGGCAGAAAGTGAAGAGGAACTAAAAAGCCTCTTGATGAAAGTGAAAGAGGAGAGTGGAAAAGTTGGCGTAAAGCTCAACATTCAGAAAACTAAGATCATGGCATCTGGTCCCATCACTTCATAGGAAATTGATGGGGAAACAGTGTCAGACTTTATTTTGGGGGGCTCCAAAATCAGTGCAGATGGTGATTGCAGCCATGAAATTAAAAGACGCTTACTCTTTGGAAGGAAAGCTATGACCAACCTAGATAGCATATTAAAAAGCAGAGACATTACTTTGCCAACAAATGTCCATTTAATCAAGGCTGTGGTTTTTCCAGTGGTCAGGTATGGATGTGAGAGTTGGACTGTGAAGAAAGCTGAGTGCAGAAGAATTGATGCTTTTGAACTGTGGTGTTGGAGAAGACTCTTGAGAGTCTCTTGGACTGCAAGGAGATTCAACCAGTCCATCCTAAAGGAGATCAGTCCTGGGTGTTCATTGGAAGGTCTGATGCTGAAGCTGAAACTCCAATACTTTGGCCACTTGATGTGAAGAGTTGACTTATTGGAAAAGATGCTGATGCTGGGAGGGATTGGGGGCAGGAGGAGAAGGGGACGACAGAGGATGAGATGGCTGGATGGCATCACCAACTCGATGGACATGAGTTTGGGTAAACTCCCGGAGTTGATGATGGATAAGGAGGCCTGGTGTGCTGCGATTCATGGGGTCGCAGAGTCAGACACAACTGAGTGACTGAACTGAAATGAATATGGTAATTAGCTTCAGCAATGGAAAAAACAGAATATGTGTACACTTTTCAAGTAGGGGTCATACTATAAACTTAATAAGAGAATGGTTATTGTCTGGGAGCTCCTAGGAAGAGAACACCAGGCCACAGAAGGCAGGACTGGCATAAGCCAGTGAGGGCAGTGGTAAGAGCTGGCTCACCGGACTCCAGCTCTGTACCCACCCAGCTTTGGGAGACAGAAGGTAGAGTGGCAGCAAGAGCAGGGATGTGTGAGAGAGCAGCTCAGGTCGGGGTGACGCAGAGGCATCCCTTCAAAGTTAATCACGACTCACATCTGTTCAGCACAGTGAGCCTAATCTTTCCACAGGTTCCATCCTTCCTGGTTTGAGTTGGTCTCTAAGTTCAGAGAATCACTTTCCTAGTGTCAGTTTTACAGTTTTCTCTTCATGGTGAATCAGAAATCAATAATGCTGATGAGCTGGAAATGACTGCAAGCAAAATACAATATTTTGAAGACATCTGGACCTTGTTTTGGCAGATGAGTTGCTTAAACCCAACCCATTCTAGATAGATCCATACGGGGGTCTACTAAATCTAGGTTTGAAGCAAAGATCCAAGGAACATGAATGATGGGCATGAATATTCTTCTTCCTCCTCTTCCTCAGTGTTTTCATTTTTCTGTTGGGTTATTTATCTGTTTTCTTAATGATACACAGGATTTTTTTTTTTTTTAAAGTCACATCCAACTCTTTGCGACACATGGACTATATAATCCATGGAATTCTCTAGGCCAGAATAGTTGAGTGGCCTTTCCCTTCTCCAGGGGATACTCACAACCCAGGGATCAAACCCAGGTCTCCCGCATAGAAGGCAGATTCTTTACCAGCTGAGCCACAAAGGAAGAGATACACAGGATTTTTTAAAAAATATTCTGCAAATATTTTCTTGTGGCCTATGGCTTGTCTTTAACTTTGTAATGATACTTTTGGTTGTACACATGATTTAAATTTTAATACAGTCATACTTTTTGAATCTTTTCAAGGATGAAGCAACACTGAATACTTTCAGGTGTATGTGCTGGAGGAGGAAGTTATCAAAGGAAATTCTTGCCAAATGACCTTTCTTTTCCCTGTAAAATAAATAGAATAAACTCTTAATAGATAGCTGCAGAGTCCTTAAGCTTCCTCCTCCAGCCAACATATATGAATTGAGTCTACAACAGATGCCTAGACCTGGGAGTTGGCCAGGGTAGGGGCATGGAGGCAGGGGATGAAACGGGATTTCATACATGGAACTCTGCCTTACTAGAGCTCATCGTCAGAGGACTAATGTGTGTTAGATTGCGTAGCTTTGATACACTTCAGTAGAACCTCAGAGGAAGGAGAAATGTCGATAAGATTGAGTATCCAGTATATGGACTGGATTTATCACGGAAGATCATATGTCAGCTTTCTTGACGTCCTGATGGTGGTGGTGGTTTAGTTGCTCAGTCATGTCTGACTCTCTGTGATCCCATGGGCTGTAGCCCACCAGGCTCCTCTGTCCATGGAATTCTCCATGCATGCATACTGGAGTGGGTTGTCATTTCCTTCTCCATAAACTAAGAATCACAGAATCTCAGCACTGAAAGGAAAAACAGATAAAGAAATGGAGCTGGACAAAGTTAAGGTCTTCCTGCTGAAGGCCTCACAGCTAGTGAAAGGCAGAATCCACACTAGAACTACAGATCCTAGGTCCAGTGTGCTGTTTGACCTGTCAGTGAAGCAAGCTGTTGTGTTTTCCTTTGATCATAAAACAGAGATCCGAGAGCAACGCAAAAGAAAAATGAAGTAAAACAAGACAAAGCACCAGTTACAACCAAAAAAAGCCCATGACCACTTACTCTGGGTTCGCAAACTGCTAGAACCAGCTGTTACAGTCACATCAACTTGACTGTCTTATGAGGATACAGGAAATATGTTCTCTTTTTTTTTAGATGGGACCAAAAAAAGTAAAGTGGTTTAACCTGGGCCACTTTACAAGTCACAGCAAAAATGAGAGTAAATAAACATGTGCTCTGTGTTCAATATTTTTCCCTTCATAAACCATAAAACAAATGGCCACATATATCTATAAACTGTAGTCACTTTCTTGTATCAGTTGCATGAGTTTTGCTCTTCTGCTGTCAGGTTAATTGGTTCTGTTCACTCCGCCTGTGGAGAAAGCATCAAATTAGGCACCAACTCAGTAACACTGAAAACAACAAAAAAAGAGATACATTGATTGCTCATAATCAAGCAATTACAGTCAGGTTTTTCCTACCTAGATACTTAGCAGCAAACACAAAAGGAAAAATCACTTTCAACTCCCTGCAGAGAGACACATCATTAATTAGGATCAATCAGAAGTTTCTCTCAATCAAGAAAATGCCTCAAAATATTAATTCCTTATATCTTACTGTAGTAATAAACCATATGTGGCAACTGATATTATGGGTCTATGTGTCAGAGAAATACCACAATGCTAATTATAAGAAATCTTTAGGATGTTCTCCAAAGTCAAATATAATGTTCACTGCTATCAAAAGTTTTCTTTTGATATCAGACTCCATGTTTCTCAAGGAGACCGAATTCTACTAGTGCCAGGCACATCTTGCCAAATGTAGACAATGCAAAGAACAAGATTAACCACATGACCCTTAGACATGATGTCATGTGTGTGTGCATGGTGAGTTGCTTCTTTCATGTTCGACTCTTTGTGACCCTATAGAGTAGCCTGGCAGGCTCCTCTGACCATAGGATTCTCCAGGCAAGAATACTGGAGTGGGTTGCCATGCCCTCCTCCAGGGGATCTTCCTGATCCAGGGATTGGACCCATGTCTCTTACATCTCCAACACTGGCAGGAGGTTTCTTTACCACTAGCGCCACCTGGGAAGCCTGAGGCCCAAGAGTCGCTCCATTCTAAACACCAAGAGCCCAGGGTGTTTGCTATTGGACATAAAACACTAAGGGAGCAGACATGGGAAACAAGGAGTTCTGTGAAAGCTGGTGAGCAGCCACCAAAGTCCCATCAGAACTGGGTTATTAAAGACATTTTTCCAGGCAGGAAAGTGGGAAAGGCATGTGACATAAAACAGACGCTAGGGGCAAAGCAACAACGCATGAAAGGAAAGGGTAAGTTCATAAATGGTGAGTATGGTCCATGCTCAGGCTGAGCAGCAGGCTGTGACCATACTGCCCATGGCCTTATATCCTAGGCTAACAAATGGGATGTGGACAAGTAGGTGTGAGTATGTTTGGAAGATGCAGAAGGGTGGGCACGCGGAAGATCAATCTGGGAGCCAAGTGTGGAAGATGCATCTTGGGGAAGGATTCCCAATCTTAGGTGACTGCATCAGCCGAGGTGAGAAATGATGATAGCTTGGTCTGCAGCACTTTCACAGAGAAGAAATACACCCAAAAAGACACTAAGAGGGTAGAATTAACCAAATTACTATAAGGGTAGGGGGAGTGATTCCTTCTGCTGAAACTGGAAAAAAATAAGGACATCAGTATCACAGAATACAAAAGAAGGCAAAGTCAGGCGAAATAGAAAATTTTAAAAACTTCTTCATATCCCTCCCTGAGGCCAGCCTTGCTCACAGAACATTTTCCAAGGATGATGACGGCTGCCAGAGCTGGACCTGCTTTGTCTTCAGGTAGCCAGACCCTGCTGCCCCTCCTCCACGTCAGCGGGCCAGGAACGTGAGGGATGGTCTTTTGATTAAAAAAAAAAAAATTTATGTATTTAAACTTTTATTACAAGGTCTCAATTAAACAGGCATTGTAGCACTGGCAAAAAAAATTCTTCATAAATAGATGATCATGTATTTTCTGCCTGCAAAAAGGTTATTTTCAGGACATATCATTTATTCCTCCTTTAAAAAAAAAAAACCAAAACTAACCTAAAGGTTTTTCTTTTTATAAAATTTGCCCTATTGGCTTTTGGTGTGCCAGAGTAAATGATCACCAATCGTGCCAAAAACTTTTGCAGCATCCTTTCAACAACAGAAATCCTTAATCTTTGTACCTGAGATGCTTAAGCATGAGCAAGTTGCATGCGCGCGCACATGCGCGCACACACACACACACACACACAAGAAATAAATTCAAAACAAACATCATCTGCAGGAGGAGCCAAGGCATTCTTCCATGAGCTTTTAACACAAAGAAAACAAGATGAGAAGGGGGTTTCATGGCTTCTAAAATGAGTAGCTTCTGCAAGAGAGGCAGCCTCAGAGGTGCCAAAAATAAGGGTGCCATGGGGTGAGCACGCCTTCTTCTCTAATGTGGATGCTGCGGTGTGCTGCCCAGATTCCCTCTTCCGGACTGAGGGGCTCATCCTCCCAGAGGCAGGGAGTGTTAGTGGTTGACAGCTTTCAGCTGAATGGCTCTTAGCCCTCTTCACAGGGCAGCCCATATCTGTGGCTGACTATTTGGGACTGGGTGGGTATAAAGTTCCGGTTCCCTTGACTTAAGGTGGGGGGCATCTCTGCAGCGTCACCCTAGCTCCAGAGCTCCTAAAGGATTGTTTGAAGCCTTTGTTGCAACTGTTTTGCAGCTCCTCCTTTCTCCCTCTGCCCCATACTGCGCCCGTCACTCTCCCAGGTGATGTTACCAAAGGCAGACCCCAGTAAACCTCCTGCACAGAAATCTGAGTTCTTTTCCCAGGACCCTAACACATGACACCTATGAGGACCACAAAGAGCCCTTTGTGATCACTAATCACAGAGAATGAAGGTGTCCCTATAAAAGCATATATTAAATGTCCTGAGTCTCGAACAACATGAGCCACACTTCCTACTTATATTTCAGCTTATATTCTAAAGCTGACAACAGACAGATATTGTAAACAGCACACAAGTGATCTAAAGAACTTTGGATATAAAGCTATTTTATAAAAAAAAATTATAGCAAGTACACATAAAAATGTGTATATTAAAACCAAGAACAGGAGTTGAGTACAGATGACGAGCAGGCCTTCATCACTTGGGTACTATAAACCATAGTTGCTGGGTTTTTTGGCTGTTTATCTTTCCCTTTCTCTTCCCCGACAAAGCTGTTCGGCAACGTTCTTTCACTAAGGCTCCATCATTGGGGGAGGAGGGGAGAAAATCGGATATCAAAAGATGTCTGTGTCTGAGAATTCCCTGGTAATCCAGTGGTTAAGACTATGGTTCCAAGGCAGGGGGCGTGAATTTGATCCCTGGTCTGGGGACTAAGATCCTACATGCCCCGCAGCCAAAACCAACCAACCAACAAAAAGATATGTGTGTCCCTACTGCCACCTAATGGTTCTCTGAGCATTACCACCTCCATTGTGTACGGTTTTTTGTTTTGTTTTTTTCCGACTGCTGACACTATACCAATAAAATGGCTAAATGTGACCATATCAAACTATAGACCACTAGTCTTACTGTGGCTAAACTCTGGGGCTTGTTCTGGCTTCTGGAAAAAGTCATGCACGCTGTCTCCGTTTTCCTCTTTACATCTGGGAATGTATACCCACCCATTGTTGTTTGGTCTAAGTATCCTTTTTAAAAAAAAAAAAAAAAAAAGATTGTTTTATTATCCACAGTGCGATTAAAGTGATGTGGACTATACCAGGTTTTTCCTGATTTTTTTGCGATACGCTTTTTCTAAGATAGATAAATAAACAGGCAACATGAATCTGGGAGTGGGAAACACCCAGATAATAGGGGTAACTTCAGGGGCTGTGATGCAGATGAATCCCATTAACTCTGGGTTTAAAAGACCACCTTAAGACCACTGATGGAGGCTATATATAAGAAAGCCAAACAGAACCAAAAAAAATCTTAAAGCTCCTGTCACCACATCAGAGGGCAAGGCCCACTGGACTCTCTCCTGCCTGTGGGGAAGTCAAAGCAATTCTTTCTCAAGTTTTCCTTCCTGACCTTCAGAGGACTCCAGTGACTGTTTGGGCCTCCACTGCCCACACCTTTCTGCTAAGCTTTGGCCCATCCAGCTTTCTGTGGCCTTCTGTTTCTGATAATCACATAAGCTTTTGAATTCTCATATATTACTTCCAAGGTTGCTAAACTACTGCTAGCTCCTAGATTTCCCCTCACCTATCCTATCTGCTGCTTTTCTCCACCATCCCCCGTCAACACACACAACACACGCCAAAACTATTCTGACTGGTCTATAAACACTGTTTTCCATCTTTTGAAAATTTTGAAACACAATTTTTCAACAAAATCTGAAAGACTAGTACCATGAGCAGACACATACATCTTCCACAATGACTGTTAAATATTTTGCCATGTTTTAATTCTTTATCTGTCCATGTGTGTGTATATACACAAAATGAATTTCCCATTTTATGTAATTTTTTGATGGAACTATTTGAAGGTAAGTCATAGATGTAATGGTACTTGGTCCCTAATTACCTGAATAGGACATTCTCCTAACTAACTTAATTCCACAGTAATAAAATGAACCATAATTCAGTATCACCTGATATCAAGTCTATAAAGAAATTTCCTAAAGTGTCCTCAAATATTCTTTTATATCTTCATTTTTCCACACCAAAACCCAATCAAGACTTACTCACTGAATTTATTACATCTTTTTTCTTATAATCTAGAGCAGTACTCCACTCTTCTCAGTGACAGTACTTTCTGAAGGATTTAGGCCAGTTTTTGTATGTTACACATTCTGAATCTGATTCTTCCATCATGGTCATTTTACTTGTTTTTCTCTCCCTGTATTTCCTATAAACTAGAAGTTGGGTCAAAAGGCTTCATTATATTTAAGTTAAGCATCTTGGGCAAGGTTCCTTCATAGGTAACGCTGTTTACTTCAGTTCAGTTCAGTTGCTCAGCCATGTCTGACTCTTTGCAACTCCATGGACTGCAGCACGCCAGGCTTCCCTGTCCATCACCAACTTCTGGAGCTTGCTCAAACTCATGTCCATTGAGTCAGTGATGCCATCTAACCATCTCATCCTCTGTCGTCCCCTTCCCCTCCTGCCTTCAATCTTACCCGGCATCGGGGTCTTTTCAAATCAGTCAGTTCTTTGCATCAGGTGGCCAAAGGATTGGAGTGTCAGCTTCAGCATCAGTCCTTCCAATGAATATTCAGGACTGATGGCCTTTACGATTGACTGGTTTGATCTCCTTCCAGTCCAAGGGATTCTCAGGAGCCTTCTCCAACACCACAGTTCAAAAGTATCAATTCTTTGGCGCTCAGCTTTCTTTATGGTCCAACTCTCACATCCATACATGACTAGTGGAAAAACCATAGCTTTGACTAGAAGAACCTTTGTCAGCAAAGTAATGTCTCTGCTTTTCAATATGCTGTCTAGGTTGGTCACAACTTTTCTTCCAAGGAGCAAGAGTCTTTTAATTTTATGGCTGCAGTCACCATCTGCAGTGATTCTGGAGTGCCCCCAAAATAAAAGTCTGTCACTGTTTCCATTGTTTCTCCATCTATTTGCTGTGAAGTGATGAGACCGGATGTCATGATTGTGGTTTTTTGAATATTGAGGGTTTTTTTTTAATGTATTAATTTATTTATTTCTGGTGGAGCTGGGTCTTCATTGCTGCGCAGGGGCTTTCTCTAGTTGCAGCGAGCAGGGTCTACTCTCCAGTTTCGGTGGGAGGGCTTCTCTTTCTGCAGATCACGGGCTCTAGGGCGCAGGCTCAATAGATGTGGTGCACGGGCTTAGCTGCCCTGCAGCACGTGGGATCTTCCCAGACCAGGGATGGAACCCATGTCCCCTGCATTAGCTGGCAGATTCTTAACCACTGGACTACCAGGGAAGTTCTGAATGTTGAGTTTTAAGCCAGCTCTTTCACTCTCCTCTATCACTTTCATCAAGAGGCTCTTCAGTTCCTCTTCACTTTCTGCCATAAGGGTGGTGTCATCTGCATATCTGATATTATTGATATTTCTCCTGGCAATCTTGATTCCAGCTTGTGCTTCATCCAGCTCAGCATTTTCCATGATGTACTCTGCACATAAGTTAAATAAGCAGGGTGACAATATACAGCCTTGACGTACTCCCTTCCCAATTTGGAACCAGTCCATTGTTCCATGTCTGGTTTGAACTGTTGCTTCTTCACCTGCATACAGATTTCTCAGGAGGCAGCTAGGGTGGTCTGGTATTCCCATCTCTTGAAGAATTTCCCACAGTTTGTTGTGATCCACACAGTCAAAGGCTTTGGCATAGTCAATAAAGCAGAAGTAGGTATTTTTCTGGAACTCTTGTGCTTTTTCCATGATTCAACAGATGTTGGCAATTTGACCTCTGGCTCCTTTGCCTTTTCTAAATCCAGCTTGAACATCTGGAAGTTCTCGGTTCACGTACTATTGAAGCCTGGCTTGGAGAATTTTGAGCATTACTTTGCTAGTGTGTGAGATGAATGCAATTGTGTAGTAGTCTGAACATTCTTTGGCATTGCCTTTCTTTGGGATTGGAATGAAGACTGACCTTTTCCAGTCCTGTGGCCAATGCTGAGTTGTCAAAATTTGCTGGCATATTGAGTACAGCACTTTCACAGAATCATCTTTTAGGACTTGATATAGCTCAACTGAATTCCATCACCTCCACTAGCTTTGTTCATAGTGATGCTTCCTAAGGCCCACTGACTTTGCACTCCAGGATGTCTGGCTCTAGGTGAGTGATCACACCATCGTGGTTATCTGGGTTTTGAAGATCTCTTTTGTATAGTTCTTCTGAGAATTCTTGCCACCTTTTCTTAATACCTTCTGCTTCTGTTAGGTTCATACCATTTCTGTCCTTTATTGTGCCCATCTTTGCATGAAATGTTCCCTTAGTATCTCTAATTTTCTTGAAGAGATTTCTAGTCTTTCCCATTCTATTGTTTCCTCGATTTCTTTGCATTGATCACTGAGGAAGGCTTTCATATCACTCCTTGCTATTCTTTGGAAAGAGGATATATTCAGATGGATGTATCTTTCCTTTCCTTCTTTGCCTTCAGCTTCTCTTCTTTTCTCAGCTATTTGTAAGGCCTCTGCAGACAACCATTTTGCCTTTATTTTTCTTGGGGATGGTCTTGATCACTGCCTCCTGTACAATGTCACAAACCTCCATTCCATAGTTCTTCAGGCACTCTGTCAGATCTAATCCCTTGAATCTGTTTGTCACTTCCACTGTATCATCATAAGGGATTTGATTTAGGTCATATCTGAATGGTCTAGTGGTTTTCCCTAGTTTCTTCAATTTAAGTCTGAATTTGGCAATAAGGAGTTCATGACCTGAGCCACAGTCTGCTCCAAGTCTTGTTTTTACCGACTGTATAGAGCTTCTCCATCTTTGGCTGCAGAGAATATAATCACTCTGATTTCAGTATTGACCATCTGATGTCCATGTGTAAAGTCGTCTCTTGTGTTGTTGGAAGAGTGTGTTTGCTATAACCAGTGCATTCTCTTGGC